TTTGTATATTTTGGCAGTCAGAGTGGTGTTCTTTAGAAATTTATGTTCAGCTCAATAAAAGAATTTGCAAACAACACTACTCTGTAACTGCCAAAATGTACAAATCTGTACAAATGTACCAATCGTCAGTCATACGACTTAGTTAAGTCGATCTGTAGCAGCCACAGAATTGAGCTATATATCAAACTAAAGTGCCACCTGAAGTTGAAAGAAACCTGAATAACCGCAAACCTCAAAGCTTTAAACATGTTTGTATGTGATTTTTAAAATGAACGATCCAAAATTAGCCGGTATACATATTTAAAATTTTTTATAACCAGTGGTTGAATTTTCGCACTGAAAGGGTTAACCCTAAAAGTATAATCTAGGTCTGCGAGGCGTATATGGAATGGGTCTTTTTTTAATTTTAACACAAAATTTACTTTTTATTTTGTTGTTTTAAATAAATGTGGTTATAGTTTTTATTAATAAAACTATGTTTTATTATCAGTCAAACTCACAACTTCAATATTATTTAAAAAATATGGCAGGACTAAGTATATTTTAGCTCACAGGTTATCTTTTAAGTACATAAGCCTCTACGGCGTATGTTAAGGCTTCACGTTGCTCCCAAATAGATAAGGCTTCTAGGGTTAAGAAAGCTTTAGTTTGAAAGTGTGACATTAAGGGCCAGTTGTTCAATGTCTGATTAGCACAAATCGGAGGTAGAAGCTCCGGTTAAGCACAACTACTGCTTTATCGATCACATGTTACATGCATGATGTCGAAATCGTCGATAGTGTAGTGGTAGTGATAACCAGACATTGAACAACCGGCCCTAAATACTTTTCACCAAAACGGCACCAATTTTCAATGATTATTGCGTTTCAGATTAAGACTAATACAAGATATTGTGAAAGGTTGGACTATACCTTAAAGATGAAAATTTTGGGATTTTGTTTATATGTCAATAATAATAATAAATAGTTGCGGAACATCTGAGTTGTTGTGTTTCTTAGAAGTAGGTAGCACATATGATTTTTCACTATTAAGGCGGAGGTCATTTCTCAGCGCCCAGGAAGAGATGGATGCTAAGTCATTGTTAAACTTAAAACAAAGCTCATCTACATTCTCGAAATTTGCTGAAAGATAGAGCTGTACATCATCAGCATATGCATGCATGTCCACATGCTGGCAAATATAAAAAATGCCATTTATGAATAAACTAAACAATAACGGTCCCAATATTGAACTTGTGGGACGTCAGCAAGTAGTAGTTTTAGCGTAGATGATTGAGAGCCGATTCTAACACGCTGAGCTCTGCCAACGAGATAACTGCATGAGTCGGACTGCAGAATTCTCAAACCCAAAATAATTTTTCAATTTCATGCACAGAAGGTTATGGTTCACAGAGGCAAAAGCTTTAGAAAAGTCAAGAAGGCATAACAGGGTTAACTCGTTCTTGTTAAAGGGTATTCTTATATCATCTAGAATTTTTAGGATAGCCGTAGAGCAGCTATGCCTTGCTCTAAAACCACACTGAAACGGAGATAGCAAATTAAATTCAATAAAGTGCGCTTGAATTTGGTTGGACATCAATGACTCAAAGACTTTAGACAGTGCACGTAAAATACTTATGGGACGAAAATCACAGGGAATACACGCAGACTTAATTTTAGCAATTGGTTGTACATTTGCAACTTTCCACATATCAGGGAAACACGAGGTAGTGATGCTATGGTTGATGACACGAGTCAGAGTAGACAATATATGTGGTGCAATTATTTTAACAAACTTAAGGTATGTCATCTTTCCCAATTGCGTTTGAGCGTATCCTGTTTATACATATTGCTACATCAACTTCTGATACAGCATTAAATCCAAAGACTTTTTGGCCAGCAAATGTAGGAGGCAGAGGATAGGGTGCGGTGGGAATACTATCACAAGAGAAAGTGGTGGTACGACTGACAAATGCCTCGTTGAGGTCTTCAGGGCTGAGTAAGCAGTCAGGACTGTCACTGACATGTACACGCAAATTTTTTAAATTACGCCACAGAACATGGTTCGGAAGCACAGGATTCAACATTTTACTATAATACATGCCATTTCTTTACATTCCATTTTTTAACCAATGTAAGGTTATTTGCTTTCACCGCGCTTTGTTTTTGTATACAAATGCAACTCTACCTATCGTTTGACACTTTTCATAAATTTGCCAGAAGAAAAACTTCGGACTAAATCTTGAAACTTCATTCTGAGAACAGTTGCTCAGTTACTCTCACGAGTGTGTTCCCAGATACAGAATTTTTGGCGTACGGGAACGACTTTGAACTAAATCCTGCAAAACCTGCAAATCGTAGACGTGCTGGAACGCACTAAAAATTTTTCTCAAATTTAGTCTGTTCCTTTGAACTTCGGACTAAAACCTGTGGAACTGTCAAACTACAATTTTACGCTCTCAAATGAGAGTAAAAGGAGAACAGATGCAGAAGTGCATAGGAACGCAAAAAGCACTATTTCCTGTAAAAACGTCAGACGCTTTGTTTACATGTCATTGGCACTACACTGATTTGGCTGAAATATCACTAAATAATTAATAAAATCTATACATATTTAAATATTTCGTTGTTTACTTCCATTTTATAACAAATATAAGGTTCTTTGCTTTCACCGCTTTCTGTTTTTGTTTGCACATGTAAATCAGCTGATCGTTTGACACTTTTCATGAACTTACAGGAAAAAAATCTCCGGACTAAATCCTGTAACTTCTGACTAGGAACAGTTGCTCAGTTACTCTCTCAAATGTGTTCCCACTTACAGGTTTTATGTCAATAGGAAGGACTTCCTGTAAGTTCTGACTAAATCCTGTAAACCGGACTGCTATTGGAACAGACTAATTGACTGCGAACTGCGTGGGTGGTGGAAAATATAGCAGCGTCTGACTGCACCTTAATTAAAACTTCTCAAAAAGTATCGAGCTTTGATACTACTCGGTACTTATCAAAAGTATACTATCGGCCAGCTATCGGCAATGTTTCGTTTGCAGAAGTTACAAAAGATGGCATCAATTTTACGGACCGGAAAATTTCTTCGTTATTTTGCTGGTTTTACGCGAAATTTTGTTGTAGATTCAGTGCGGCAGAGTGAAAATGGAAACAGCCTGCTGCAAACTTCATCAAGTGTTTGCACCCAGTTTCAGCAGTAAGTAGGACTGCCGGTTCTAGTGGTCACGTTACGCAATTCCACAATAGATAATTTTTTCGCAGTGCATACCTTTACTTTTTCTGGGAAATTTATTGAATTTGTGGGCTGCAATTTAGTTTGGCATCCCCCGCGTACAAAAAAAAGGAGCTATGGGGGGGTAGGGGGAGTTCTCCTGATTGCAAATATATATACTTTTAGCCGCAGGAGGCTTAGAGTTTTTAAGTTATTTGTTGTTAAAGTTTGTAAATTGAACTAACCTCTCGGCGCTATTTCACACAATAAACACTATATTTATGTAGACACTTCGGCAAAATAGTTACATTAAAACCCCGCACAATGAAATGTAAACATATTTTTTACATTTATGATGTATTTTTAGTAAATTAAGTAAGTTTTAATAATTATCACGCACTTATATATCGTCGTCTCAGAAAACGGATGTCGAATGTTACAAAACACGGTTTTGAGAAAATTGACTTTGAAGTTTAAGGTCGAATTAATCCGAAACTGTACGGTAGATTTTTGTAACTTTTGAAGGAGACGTAGTTGGTGTTATTAGTTTTGATTTCCCATATTTTTACATTTAATATCTCTTAACGTTAATGAGAAAATTTACTTTTCATTCCGTATACGTTTGTCGTAAGTAGCGTTTACTCACCACTTTGTTTTGTCCACAGAACATACGACAATAGTAAAGTATCTATTTCAACGACGATGGTATAATTTGATGAAAAAAACAGACATATTTATTAAATAATGATTACTTATTAGAAAAAACATAACAAAAACATAATCATGTATTTAATAAAAAAAATCTGTACATCTCTTATGCTGTAAATATGTTACGAACATACGTTTTCTTTATATAAAAACAAAAAACAATACTTAAATTCAGTCTTTTGTACATTTTTATCTCTTTCATTTCATTGGAGACTCAGTGCAAGCTAAAATTTAAAAATTTAAAATTTTAAAATTAGTTACTT